TCTCTGCTGATTGGCCGCAGCAGTGAAGTGTGTGATGTACTGGATCCTTCACCTAACAGATGTTTAGATGAACTTCAACAACACACAGACACACACACACACACACACGGAGTTATGTCTGGTAGCCCTGGGGGGTTTAACTGTGATGACACACACACACACACACACACACACACACACACACACACACACACACACACACACACAAATCCAGGCTTGTGTGTACATGTGTGTGTATAGGGGTGTGGACGGGCACTGAGGTCAAAGGTTAGGTAAGCCTCAGAGTTGACAAGGCAATAGGATGTGTTGGGGTCAGGACCTCACAGCGTGTCACACGAGACAGTTTAGAGTTACAGAAAGAAGAACAGACAGAACGTCTACATACTGATTGTGTGAAATAAAGAGGAAAGAAAATGTATTTACAGCTGCACTAATTATCATTTTTGGGCCACTAGAGGGCAGAAGAACTCCAAATCAAGCTGACAAACACGGAAGCTTGACATATACAAGTTTGCTGGTTTTAGATTCTCAGATGTGAGAATGTGTCCCCTTCCTTTGTCATATTTGACAGCTTTTAAAATGTTTCAGGGGTTTTGGACTGTTTGTCAGAAAAAACAAGCAATCTGAAGGTGTCACCTATAAGTTCTGGGAAATAATACATATTTATATTTATTTTCTGATATTTAATAGATAAAAGAAGTGATTAAAGTCAATTAAAACATTATTCAGTAATGAAAATAATTGTTGGTTGCAGCCATAAAACACTCAACAGCTGACCTACATTCCTACTAGCTGATGTAAACAAGGATACATAAACGTTTTCTGTTAAAAAAAGTAAGGGTACCTTTAACTCGCTAGTTTGTGATATATTTGTTTGTCATTGATCAGATCCCATGACAGAAAGTGTGTGTGTGTGTGTGTGACGTACTCTGCCGTTCTGCATCACACCGGGTGGTTAGAGGTGAAAACAGGGTCACGGCTGAGAGCGTGCGCTGTGTGTGACTTGCCAAATTAAATCAGTTGAAAATGAGGTTACGGCAATGTTGTTTCTAAAGGGATAAGAAAAAGCCCCCCCCCCCCTAGTACACACAGTACACTATAGCCTCAGTGCTCACTGTTTATTTTCTTACTGTAACTTTAGACATGAAGTAAAAAAGATGCCAGGTCATTTTTTTTTCAACCTAAAATTGTAAAAAGGCTTTTCAGAGAGTACCAGGTTTCATCAGACAGCAGCGAGATGGGATGCTGATGGGGGTGTTAACAGATGGCTGCAATTCAACTGACACAGAGCAAACACACACACACACACACTCAGACAGAAACCTGGAACTGGTTAACCTCTGTCTCAGTCACAGATTTCACCTCTCTCTTTCAGTCCGACACACACACACACACACACACACACACACACACACACACACACACAAGTGGACACACTTTCTCTCAGTGTTTCTTTCTCTACTTTCACTCCCTCTCTTTGTTAATATCCATCTCTTTCCTGGCTTTACATCTCAGTTATTAAGTCTCTTGGTTTGTTTCTCACCTTTATTTTCTTGCCTGCTTTCATTTGGTTTCTTTGCATTTCTCAGTTAAATAAGTAAAGAAGTCTCTGATCGCACGAATGAAATGATACACTTATAAAATATAATGCACTGCGAAAGATTTAAGCAACGGTTCACAATATTTTTGGCTACAGTGTCAACACCCGCTAAACTTCTGAGAGGATTTCATTTTAAATATTGTTTGAGGCCCAAAGAGGTAAAAAAAGTTAAAGAAAAGTCCAAAAGTGTTAAGCACAACTTTTAATAATCTCACGACCCCTCAGATGTCTTGTGACCCCTGAGGAGGCCTGACTCTTAGGTTGGGAACCACAGGAATAAGTACCAACACATTTCTAGCCACAACACTAAAATTCTGCTTAAGCATTGATGCATCAATATCGACGTTTAATAATTTCATATTTATTAATATCAATTACAGAAGGGCATCCTTCTGCAGACTGAGTACTTTTGATATTTAAAGTACATCTTGCTGATACTTTACTTTAGGATTTTAAAGGCTGGACTTTTACTTAGTATTTTTACATTAATGTGTGGTCCATTCCCTGAAGAGAGATTTCAATACCCCCCCCCCCCCCCAACTTCCTTCCTTTATTTTATAGATGTGTTTCTGTGCTTCTATTTTCCTCTCTGCTGACTTTATTTATTATATTTTTAAACGTCTTCCCTTCCTTCCTGTCTTTCATACTTTCAAATGAATACAGTTATTAGAAGAAGCAACTTTTGACCCAATTTTCACTACACTCGTGTAGAACATACATCTTGAGAACAGTGTAGGAGATGAGTCAGTATGTGAGAAGATAGGAAGATAGTTTTGACAGGAAGTCACACATGCAATATTTGCATCTGAGATGTGGTGGAGGAGAAGCATGAACTATTTTGAATGTACTTTTCACCACAGCTTTTGCCTGAAAGATTTGTGTTTCATAACCTCTCATATTTAAGGCCTCATAAGTAATGAAGAGCTGTTGTTGAAGGCAGATCAAAGATTAAATGTATGCTTACTAAATATAGTCACGACTCAGAGGTAATGGGTATAAAAATCATGACAGCTTGATCAAAACAAAACAGCTTTTTATGCTTTTGATGATAATTGTTGTGTCCATCAAACAGACTGAAACAGACCAAGTTTAAACAAAAGAAAGAGCCACACGCGCTCAGTTCACACACTTACTTTACTTCACACACTCCTACATCCCTGTGCACTTCAGCGAACAGTCTGTCAATCAACCTGAATGATTTTCTCTCTTCCTCACATGACCACACACACACATCCTGTCTCTATCAGTCATTCTGTCTTTCCCTTTTACCTTCTCCTCATGCGCACACTTTCTTGCTTCTACAGATATTTACTCAAACACACTTCCTCTCAGGGGCGTAATTACATAAAGTGCCTTTGGCTATATACAGTATGTCCTCATAAGGCCAACCACTCTCTGTCATGGTTTTCTTTTTCTTTGTAAAATAAACAATCCATAACACAATGATGCTTATTCTACATAAACTATAAATTTTTTTTTGTCATTTTGTATTTTTTTTGGTATTTTTGTCATATGTGCAATAATGACGACAATGTGAATAATGCTGATTAATATGTGTGTTGACGTCGTACAATGTCAGGTTTCTATTAGATGACAGGATACGACATGGAAGCTAGTTTAGGCCCAAAATCCATCAAGACTGATAAAGGGAGCACATCTGCAGCCATGCCTTTCAAACATAAAAGTGGCAGTAAGAAAAGTGTGTGTGCGTGTGTGTGTGCGTCATCTAGTAACTAGCGAGCACAAGGGCCCAAGGGGGCGGGGTGCTAGATGTCTGCTCTGCTGCGTCACCCGAGCTACAAATAACAGAATAGTATATTCACTAATAATAACTGATTATTAAGCTTTAAACATAGCACTGACATATTATCACCTTGTAAGTAGTAATGCTGGACTTGTGATTCATTTGGAGTCGTGTTTCTGGTCAGCTGATGAATGTCAGTTGAATATTTACTCTCTCTTAGCTCTGTTTTTGGTCTCCACCACCTACTGAGGGAAATATCTGACTGTTTAGCTGCTAAATGCTCCACTATGTTCACAGGTTATTCAGTAACTTTGCCGCTGCCTGCTGTCTGGTGCTGAGCAGGTCTAGCTTATCGTAGGTTTTACGAGGTTCCTCACTGAAAACAGCAGCCCTCTGTCCCCCAAAATATAATAATGTTACAGTTTTTTAAATATATATCTACAGGTATGTAAATCTGGTACTGAATTCCAAAACATCTCAAATTGAGTGTTTTTTAGTGTTTTAGTCATTTTGAAGATATTTAATCTAGTCTAGTCCCAAATATGAGACTATTACTGAGCACCTCACTGGTACTCCAGCTATGGCCTGCTGACAAGGTTGTGTGGGAGGAGAAGGTTTGGGAACCACTGTTTTCTAGCAATGATAAAGTGCTGAAATGTACCACTGATGCACCTCAAGGGCAATGCACATCAAAATCAACCAAAGTCAAACTCTGTTCAAAAAGACAAGCCACAGAAAGGAAAAGCACCGTTTCACTTTCAATGTCACTTCACTGTGTCCGAAGCAAACACAAAACACAAAACACAACCACGCATCACCAGATGGCAAAGATGAATATTTTTTATATATGCTGAAGATTTGTTTCAACACATATAAAGGCAATGTTAACATTAACAATGTGTCCGGTTCTATTCCAATGAGACATACCATTGTGACGGCGCTGACTTAACCCCCTGATGTAGAGTCAGAGCCTACAGGTGGATGCCGGGGTGGAGGTGGAGCTTTTGAAATGCTACATGATGAGCAGCAGCGGTGGCAGCAAATGACAGCATAGCTTTAAAGTGAGCAGTGTGGCAGCCGGCATGCAGCGAACGAGTGGACGCAACACAGCCGGGACTAAATGTGTGCGGTGTGTCACGTCAGCATAGTCGACTCAACTAGCTCGCAGGCTTCATTTCATTGTTTTTTTAGATAATGCAAATAATCTTCAATAGTTAATCATTATGACTGCTCTCTTATTTTATTTGCTTAGAATGAACATTTAACAAAAAAAATTTAAAAAACAGCATATATCGAGTTCCCTAACACAATAACTTCAACTGCTAATCATGCTAACATTCTTTAGCAATATTGCCCAACACTTAGCACAGTGTGCTTCTGTTGTGAAGGTTGATTTAACCTTAACTTGACTACTCAGTAGTACACAGAGCAAAACAAACAGCTTCTACTGTATTTTGGTTGCTTAACAATACAAAGCCCCAATCTAAAGATCCAGTTCATTCATCAAAACATTGAAAAAACAAAGTGTGTTTACATAAACAAATGATGATCTTTGGAACCGGCCCAGTTTAATCTGGTCGATGTGTTAAAGAAAATAAAAAGCCTAACTTATTGTAGCTACAGACTGACACAGACTGAGACCTGTTTCTCTCCCACCTCCATCTTCCAGCGGCTGAGCATTTCTTCTTTCTGTCTCCGGCTGACGTAGTACGGATCTCCGGCCTGGAAAGTCACCCTGGGGACTGGCCTCCTCCGCAGCCTGCCAGCCTCACCCTGCACATAGATACACACAAAACAATTGTTATATACTTTCACTTGAATCTGCTTGTACTATGAGAGAGGGGTTTTTCTTCATATTTGGAAGTAAAAAAACAAAAACACATCAGAAGTAGGACGGCAACTGGTTTTCTCACCTCTCCGGGGGAGTCGCAGTTTCTGTCGTCTGGCTCGTCTGCAGGAGAAGAAAGGTTACAGGAAATGGTCCATTTGTACAGATTTAACAAGAGCTTTAATGAGGGGTTGAAGTCATGGTTTTCATCACTTTGCTCCGTCACCCATATTTAAAGTCGAAATGCCCTCAAACACTGCGATCTGAACGTAATTTGACCATCAAAATTTCAGGTAAACTGACAACAATTCCTCTTCAGATCATTATTTTTTATATATTTAAATTAGACACAGCATGATGGTAACTTTTCAAATCCTTAAATCCTCTGAAATGTCAGTAAGTTAGCTGTTGTGTAATCCAAAGGCATTTTAATCACTGTATAAAAGGGCAAAGTCATATTATATTAAGAATTATATGACTTTGTGTTAAATCTATACCCTTATTCTTCTTGGTTTTCCCTAGTTTCCGACGCCCGCGCTTCTTGCGAGGGGAGGGGGAGGGCTCCGGCTCCTCAGGCGGGGTTGGGGGGGGCGTTTACACAGGGGTCAGAGGTCGCCATCTCCTGGGAAACAGACGGAGCACAGTCGAGGTCTGAGAAAACTGCTGCTGGCCCTCGTCTGGACTCATCAAAGGACTCCGCAGACATAACAACCATACACACACACAAGTACAGGCCTTAAACACACATGCATACACACACAATCAAAGAGCTACTGCAATACAAACACATACCTATTCGCCTGCCCTTGTTAGTACAATGCAGAGCAGGTACGTCCAGCAGAGTGTGTCTGCATTGGATCAGTGTAATAAACACCCCCCAGCTCCCATTAACACACACACAAACACACACTAATGAGATGAGATGGGGAGCGCTATCGATGCCGTTAACCGTGCTCATGATTAATGAGCACATGTGGGAGAAACCCCTTGTGCTCAATGATGCTAAAATTACATATAATGTAAAATAATGTTTATCGAGCTAACTTCAGAAAAACAAAAAATGCTTGTATGGTTTTAAAATGATATACAACAGAAGTGCTGTGTTGACACTGCAAAATATTGAGATGACAGTATGCGGTTTGTTTGATTATGCACTCAAACAATCCCCCGTGTGTACGCCTGTCTCTAATTCAATGGCTTATCCATTAGCTTACCAGCATTAATGATGCTAAACTCTGATCTAGTGTCAGCTCTGAAAGGCCAGCAGGATCTTTATGTGTGTGTGGGTGGCGGACAGGCCAACACATTTTATAGATGGGTAGTTAGAAAAGTGGAAAGCTGGGGTGAATGTCAAGCTCAAAGGCTGCGCTAACGCTAGCTAGTGCTAACAAGCCCACAAAGGCTGTAATGAGCAGGTGAGAAGGCCTGTTAAAAGGGGACTTAAAAGGGCCTTAGGACAAACTTAACCACACCAGCGCCCACTTTTACAGCTGGGTGCTTCAACAGGAACACGGTTCTGATACATTAATTTAGGGGCCCAAACATCACACCAAGGGACAAGCTGACAGTACAGCCCTTCAGCTCTATATTTCATTTTTGTGTTTTTAACTAACGTTCAATGCACTTTCACAGTATTACAGAGCTGGCAGCACACAATGCTTCAAAAATCTTGTGCTCTACATAAAAACAATATCACTACTAATATCTCTATCAACTATCATCACGCATGTTTTAGCTGTGGAAAAATGTATATACGTTCAAATGAAAAGCAGAGATTCTGCATGTGTGAAAAGCAACACGTTCAACTTGAAGTTGTGACGAAACATCGAGAAACAAAAGTGAAGTGACTTCACTGGAAAGATAAAATAAAGATATTTATGTTTATCGCATTTCATCCATAAATCTCAATAAATTGCAGGAAACACAAAATACACTTTTGAAAAAAATAAATCAAAGCGATGTAAAACGACACCTTATCGCCGCAATAAATTAGCTCACACAAATCTTAAAACTGTGCACATAAAACAATCAAAATAATGGTATGAATTAAGATGAAAGTTTCTTTAACATTAAATTAAGAGTGCACCGATACCAGTGTCTTTGATGTGAACGCATGGCCTTTAACCGAAATTAAAGCTGCATTAAGCAATATTTAACCATTACAGCATGAGGCACAATTACTTTGACACTACATCAGCTCCTACGGCTAACGTTTAAGCAAACAACTGACTACTTACACATTCAGCAGAAACAGGGGAATCTGGACTTGCAGTCATCTTTTTGGCCACATGTCGAATGTAAATTCAATTCAGCTCCTGAGAAAAATATCTGGATGTCTTTGGATTGCTATATGTGACGACGTCTCTTCAGCCACTTCGCCTCTCCGTCACTTTGCGCCAAACAGAAAGTGTACACCCGGCTTGTGTGAGCCGGTTGTACACTTCCCTTTTGCGAGAGCACGTGCGTTTTGTTGGGTTTCATTTGAGCCGGTGAACCAAAACTACGACCTGGACGCGGCTGCGGTCTACAGTGTAGATTTCATTTCATCCAGTGCGACTATAAAAAGGTATTGCTTAATGCAGCTTCAAAGTTCTTTTGAGAGAATTTAAGTTAAAGAGCTAGACTCACACACAAACGCAGATCTCCTGCATGTACACTTTCACAACTCCTTCCTCACTTCCTCTTCGCTCACCGTTTAACCTCCGTCTTGGATGACTGACAGTTTGGAAAGTACCTGACTCTACTGACTCTGAGCAATCCAACCAAGCGCAGATTTTTAGGTTGGATGAAACTTTGATGATACCCAAGGGGAGGCTGGAGAGGGAACAGGATGTAGCAAACAATAAAACAGTAGCGCACCAAAAATAATAAAATTAGCAGCCCCACTGTCCTGATATAGCAAATAAAATGGCCCAAATGTGTTCTCATGCGACAGATGGAGGCAACACATATGTTTTTACATCAGTTATCATTAGTAGTTCACATCACAGCAGCCGTGAGTCTCGTGAACACTCTGTATTGGACATGACACGATGTCTAAACTAACTTAATGTAAACTAAACTTTACGTTAATGTCAGTCAGATAAAACACAGCAGCCTCTACTGGAATAGTAACGCTAACTTCTGCAACATTTCCCATCGCACGCTACATGCTACATTATACTACATCTATTTGAATTGTATGTCTTCAGTTTTGCTAGCTAAGGCTTGTTATTACTAGGGATAGCTGCTATGGCCATGTTGGCAGAAGTAGCTATCACTAGTTGCGAGATTAACTGAGATTAATGTAATAATATAATTATGTCTCAAAAGCAAATAGAGATGAAGCTAGCAACCTTATCTAACAATGGTAAAAATAATAATAAAAAAAAAACAAGTTCATTGAGATTGCTAAGAAGAAAACATGAGACATAAGTTTTTCAAACACCATGTACACTATTTTAGAATTACTGGCTGAATCTCCATAAAGGTATTAATTACAAGACAATGACAACAAACTTCTCTTAAAAACAGCATCGTCACATACTTTTGAGCGCAGCTGCCTTAAATTAAAGCACTTATTACATGTTCTGTTGAATGACTTTGAAAACCTGGATAAAGGTAAATGGTTTATTTAAAGTTTTTGCATTCTTTGGAGTAATCCGACTTCCTCACCGACCTGAGTTTACGTGATCATTAATACATTTTAATCCGTGTGGTTTGTAACATAGAGGACGTTTAAGATGGTTAATACAGAACCTCAATACAAGCTTGGTTACTTGCAGCATTAGTTGTAAAATAAAAGCGCTTTTGACCCAAAGTCAGTTAATTTGTATGTGCCAGCCTCAAGCCGTGACACCATTTGTCCCACCGCAAACACAATCATGACTTCCAGCGTGTCTCTGTGACTTTTGAGGTTTGGCTGGAAAACAGAAAACCCCAAAGAAAACAGACGGAGCCGCATGAATGCCAAGATCAATTCTAAAGCCCTGTTTATCAAGTCATGCCTCAGATCTCAGGTTTCACATGACAGTTCCATTAATTATACGTTAGCTGTACTCTGGATACAATCTAGTTATTAGGGTGCATAAATAGTTTCATTATTTATATCAGTTGACATCATAACTAACTGTAGCTGTGAGGGGGATTTTTCATGTTTAGGCATGAGGCTACATAAATGGTGGGAAAGTTACCAAAATATATCTCTTTAGTCCTACTGTAATTCAAGCACAACACACACACACACACACACACACACACACACACACACACACACACA